TTTTTTTTTTTTTTTTTTTTTTTCCAGTGGCCCTAATCCTCTTCCGTAGGATCATGTCTAGGATGATGCGTCTCAATTTGTTTCTGCAATTAATAACTTTCATATTAATTTACCATGCCAATTACTAGGCAATTATGGCTATTAGTTCAGATCAAGAAGCTGCTGAGTTCTCTGAAGACTTTATTATACTGCAAAGTTTATTTTTAATAATCTGTACGATTTTTGAACTTATTTTGTATAAAAACCTTTTACCTGCTTGCATAAAACTGGATTATAAACACTCTCTTACTGCTTCTGTTTTTGCCCCGATTGATTAACATCCAGTCCAAGCATCCACTCCTCACAAGTAGTGCAGTATGATGACACTTTGAAATCTTAAAGTGCCATAAATTAAGTGAAAATATCCCCTTTTTAAATCTCTGTCAAGCATGGCCTCCTTGCAGGTAAACAGAAAGTGTTTTTACTGCAGTTTTTCTCCTCTGGTTACAATCAGTCTGAGGGTTTTGAACAGCTGCAGCATTAAATAAAAACACCCAGCTCAGCAGTAAGAAATGATGTCCTTTTCTTGTTAATGTTGTTTGTATCCATTGATATTTATATAGCAGCCTGCACATATCTTATCATATTGAATATAAATACATGCTGCATTCTATTTGTTTGATTAAACGCACTCAAGCAAATCCAAAATGTGTTTTTTAATTGGATATTTTTCCACACAATCTATAGCTCTCTGCTTATTTACCCTGTTTGTCAAAGAGACTTACAGAATATTTGCATACCATAAAAACTCAGTACACTGATATGTGGCCAGAAGTGTGGAAGAATTATAGAATATAGTACTGAGGACAAGATTAGAATAAGAATTTAAAACAAACTTTAGGATCTTGCAAATAAATGGCTTGTTACTGCTAGTACTACTGCATAATAAAACAGAACACCCTGCTTTTTTTCACGGCTTTCATGTTGTTTTTGGAGTTTTTTCTATTTACAGGACTTTTCATCACAAATGGTACATTTAGTCGCGTTTTTTTTGTTTTATCTCTTTTTGCTGATCAAAATCAGATGTAGTTTTTATCAAATTCACAAATGAAGAACATTGTAGGATGGCACGCCACATCAGTCCACTCCCCAGAGGCAACCATCTCACTACAGTCCTCATCGTCAAAGGCATCGTTGGGTTCTCCTTTCCTCCATTTGCTGAAGGTGGTCATGGGAGATCCGTCCACGTAGGTGAAGACTCCTTCACGGTCCAGGTCGTGAATCCCGATGTAGACTCTGCTCAGGCCTGCTTCTGTTATATAGCCGGCGATGAGCGCATTGGCCCCGTCGTCCTTCGGCATGGCCAGGTGCCCTCCCCTCGCCTGGCAGTAAGCCTCTGCATCGGCGTAGCTCTTCTCCTCCTTCACCAACAGATACACCTTACTGTCTGTCTCTTTTATGCCTGCAACAGCTGCAGGGGAGGGCAGTGCTGTAAAAATGAGCACTTCATTTCTTTATAAATTTCTTATTGCCATGCCAAGCAGTGATAGAAGAACGAACATTTTGAGCAAACATAAAAACGCTTGATGACACAAATACATGTAAAGTGCTTTTAGAGAAAGTTATGAAGGATATTCATGAATGTTTAGAGTTTACCGTTTTTAATGAAGTTTAGTTCTGAGGACAGCTGGGCCACAACAATATCCATTTCTCCAATCATTTTTCTCATTGGTGTGCACTCGCATGGAACACCTGATGATAAAGCAAGAACGTGAGGGTTAACAATCTGGGAATTTTTCATCAAATGCGCCTGTCTCAGCCAACTAAAATGAATTTCGTTAAACGGAATTAAATGGCTTATCTCACCAGGCTCTCCATTGGGGCCTCGTGGACCAGGGTCACCCAGGTCACCTTTAACCCCTGAGGTGAAGATATACTTAATTAAACATGTGAAATATTATATCTATCTCAGCATGATTGTTATTAAAAATTTGGCAATGCAAATAAAGATTTTTTTTTTATTATTATTATGTTTTAAATACAAATATAAACATTTACACAGAATCTATTGAAGTTGCTATAAATTGGTTGTTTTCCCAACATATGATTTCAACAATTGAGTTTTTAAAATGGTCATTTATGTCATACAAAAAGCATGAAGCGTTAGCTTGCTTGACCGGCTCCGTCATGCTGGTTTTCCTTCAGTATTAGCGCCGCAAGCGTCACGTCACGTGACTAAGAAAACGTAACGGGATTGGCTGGTTGTTGGACGCCACAATCCATTGCTAATGTCTGTGACCTGAAGTAACCCCTTCCCTTTTTACACTGAATTTAGACGCTGAATTTAAGACGGTGAAATAGAGCCAGTTGAATCTCAGGAGGCTGAAAATACTGAGTTTGAATTTTGAAAGGTTGAATTTTTTTTTATATGCAGATTTTTTTAACACTAAAAAATTAAACTGAAAAATAAATATTGAAAATCTAATCACTTTGAAATAGTAATGTGAATTTTTAGCTTGAAGAGAAAATAAGAAATTAAATTTTAACTGTGTAGAAATAATGACAATGAATTTTTTTCTAGGTCAAAAATGTGTTCTGAATATATTTTAAAACTGAAACAGTAAGAACAAACATACAACATTTAAATTTCAGTGGCAATTTAAATTCAAATCCCAGCGACACAGATTCACTTCCATACAACAGAGTGTAACAAAAACAAAATTTTGTTTTGTACTGCTTTCAAAAACATTTGCTTTACCTAAAATGCAGCAGTGATGAGATGTAAACAGTGAGGGAGAAAAAAAACATGGTGCAAAAAACTTATTGAATGTATGGAAGTTCAGAGCATTAAATATGTATGGTGCATATATGCAGAATTTTAGTTTGGTGTTATGAGTGGGATGCGGAGTCTGTGACATGATTCAGTTTTTTCAATATTCAGCTGTATGATGGCGGTGGGGAAGAAGCTGTTTCAGAATCTGCTGGTCCTGCATCGAATGCTGCGAAGTCTCTTCCCAGAGGGTATTAGAGAAAACAGACCATGTTGGGGGTGTGAGGGGTCACTGATAATGTTACGGGTTTGGGACACGCAGCGCTGGGATGAAATGTCTTTTATGGAGGGAAGAAGAACCCTTATGATCTGCTCTGCTGTTCTCACCACTCTTCTAACTTCCTTCCAGTCTGAGGCGCTGCATCCTCCACACCACACAGTGAGACAGCTGGTCAGAACGCTCTCCATTGTGGAGGAAGCTTCATAAATTTAAGAGCCACTATAACAATATTGAGAATGGTTTTGGAGCGGGTCAAACCAAAATGACAGGGCTTTGATCATAGCTTTTTGGTTTCCACTCGGGTTACGTATAAACAACATAAGCACAGTTAATTAAACATAGCTGCAAAAAACTAAAAAAATTTTAATCAGGAATGAAAAAGTATTCCAACTAGTTAATCCTGATGAAAAAATTCATAAATAAAATAAAATAAAAATTCAGATCAGGAGATAATGACAGAATCTGTATTTTGATTAAATTATCATTTATAATTGAGCCTCTATGTATCCTGTGTGAATTAAAGTGAAAAAACAGAAAATTACAGAAGAAATGTCTTATAAAATACATGAGTTTATGTAAAGTATTACCTTTAATCCCTCTTGGTCCAAATTTTCCATGATGTCCCATAATTCCTTTTTGTCCTTTGATTCCGGGTTGTCCTGAAAAAGCAGCATGTTTTGAAAGACATCCCAAGCTTTAAAAAAAATAAAATAAAATAAAAAGCTATTCATCTCAGATTCTGGTTTAAAATCAGGCTTAATCAGAATCTGTTTTTAATCGAGAGTCATCCCCATCCAAAAACATCCTTCACTCCTCGTTAATCTCTCCAGTAAACACTTGTCCATAATCCTGCATTCCACTAACTGTTACTCCTCCAGCTTTTTACACAAATGTAAACACATGGAGATCTCTGGCTACTTAACACCACATTATCAGCACCAGAAATGTGATCTCTGCCCTAGTTACTGCGGCGTGCCTTAAAACATTGAAGAAAGGCTTTAAGCAAGCAAACGTTTGTCTAAAAAAACAAATACTCAGAAAGTAACAGTAAGGTTTACCGCTCTCTCCAAGAGGGCCGACTCTTCCTGGTCTGCCAGGAGCTCCTTTTTCTCCTTTTAGCCCCGCTTCTCCTTCAGCAGCAGAAAATCAAATCAGACATAGTTCATTTTCACATTTATTATGAATGATGTGTTGAAGATTGGTAAGACATCGTGCAGAGTGAGAAGCATGCCTTTTAATCCAGGGACAAGGATCTGAATAGTGCAGGATTCTTCTGCCGCTTGTTGTCCGTTTACCATCTGCAGCTGCAATAAACTCATCAATGAAATCAGCATCATATGGAGTAAAAGTTTCCATCTTGCCATCCTTCTACATGGAGTGGACGGTGTGTTAACTGGAAAAACAGCAGGATCAGAAAATACCAGGTCAGAGAGGAAAATCTAAATCAAAAGTTTGGATTCAGCGTTTTTTTCAGAGTTTGTTCCCTTTAGAAGGTTCATATGATATTGGAGCAAAACCCATTAACCAAAAGTATAATTTGATTTGAATGAATACATACAAATAAAAAACAACCAAAGCTCCTTTAACAACGAAATAATTCATTATGTATGTTTAAAGCCTTAGAATAATGTGACGCTTACCCTTAGATGTATTCTGACGATGGTATTCCTGACGATCTGTTGGAGCTTTCATTGCTGGCAATCCTACTGAAAAGTTTTCATGTTTGTCCTCATGTCTGAGTGTGTGTGTTGGGGTGAGATAGGAAACATATAAACAGTCCACTGATAAAGTCCTGAAGCATTTGGGGCCCCTGCACATAATTGGCTGAGAAAGTAGCCAGGGATTTATATAAGTAAGGTCTAATAAATACAGAGAATGAGTTTGATCATTTATTCTTTGCTTTTAACTCAATTATATTGATGCTTGCATCTTTTTTTCTTATAAGTCAGTGATTTAAACAACAGTCTCTTGTTACTTTAACTGTTTCTGGCTTCTTTAAGAGAAAAATGTTTGGATTCTGTCACTTATTTAACAAAGCTTCTAGTAATTCAAAATAAAATGTTTGATATATGCATTGATAGATAAATAGCTAAAAGTCTGTCAATAAAATTGTTGTTCTCTAAATTACAACTTTTTGTGTTTACTGAGGCAGTTCATGCTGAAACAAAACTAAAGTAAATATGAATTTCCTGTTTTTAATACATACAGTTTTATAAATCAGATCATTGAAACTAACTTTCATTCAGTATTCACAGATATATTGTGTACAGTTTATTTCTGGGAATTTCTGTGATTTTGGTTTACTTATTGCCATTTTAAAGTACAGTGTAACATCAGACTCATAAGCAGAGTTGGGTACATTACCCAAACACTTTCCTCTAGTAATTGTATTAATATTTTAACATCTTCTTACTTAAGTAAAAGTGAAATAGTTTTTGGAAACTTGGCTGCTCAAGTACTGAATAATTGTTGGGTCATAACATCTGATTTCATGCCTGAAATTATAAAAAAAAAAACAGCTATAGTGATGTAAATAAACGCATAACATGATTAAAAATGTATTAAAAATTTGGACAGAATAAACAGTTTTCTAAATGAACATTTTCTGCCTAAACCTAAAAAACAACTATCTAAGATGTCCATGTGCTGGATGGTAGCAACATGTAGTCGGATGTTGATGCTCTTTGCTTCCTAACGGAGTGTTTATGAAACTAGTTACTTTAATTGCCCTCAGCTCGTCTGCGTCTTTGGGCCTAAAGTCTCTCGTCTTCTTTTTGACCACACTGCAAAAACAATCTAGAAATAAGTACAGAAATTCTTAAATTAAGGGAATTTACTCTTAATTTGAGCAGGTAAATGAGATAGTTTGCCAATGGAATGAGTATTTTTACTCTTAGAACAAGATAATTAGATAATATGCATTTGAAATAAGACAATGCAGTTATTTTTTCTTATTTTAAATGTACATTTTCTTGTTCCATTGGCAAAGTGTCTCACTTACCTCCTCAATTCAAGAAAAAAATGACTTATTTTAAGAAAAAATTACTCATTTAGATTTACATTTTTTGCAGTGCACACTCCATAGATTCCCTGAGGTTCAGGCTCAGGTTTACAGTTCATCCAACATAATGGTGATAATTACAGATGGTTGCACCTTTTTTTGTACAGATGGATCTACAGGAGGTCAAATGGAGGCAACTGCCCCTCCAGTGTAGAGGTTTTTACCTCCAGCTGCCCCCCACCCATGAGAAGAAAGAAAACAAACTAAGATTTGAGGAAAGTAGAATAATCAAGAGGGTCAGAGGTGAAGGGGGGCACTAAAAATACAACAACTGAAGAAATTAGAGAATGTAAAAGACGTTACAATAAGTGCTGAAAATGGTGAAGATTTCAGAGTCAGAGGGAAAAAGAAGGCAGAAGTAACTGATGAAGACGAACAGAACTGGAGGGAATCCAGCCTATCCAACAGAGTCTGGTTTCTATTTATTTCCTCTATAACTTGCAGTGCGGTATAGATTGGAATCTGTATTTGAGACATTTTTCTGAATAGCACAACTATTATCACCTTCAAATCCACTAAACCGATGGCTGCTATCAGTCTTGTGATGTGTTCCTTTAACATATAAGAGATTTAGTTCCAGCATTGCCACCCAGCTGTAACATCTTTGCTCCTCCATGTAAAACGTTCTAGCTGTGCCACAGTTTTTGAAAGTTTGGGTACCCGCCATATCCTGCTGGGTTATCAGCTCCTTACCATCATCAAGATTATCCCCATTAAAGTTCCAGTAGACTTTAGCAATGATTTTAAATCTGATCAAACCCAGTGGACCAACACCAACATCTGGCATGGCTTCCCACTCCTCCTGTCAGTGTTTTATCTATAACTTTAGCACCTGTGCAGACACTTTGAAACGTTTGTAAGATTTTGCACTGGAAAAAATCGAAATCTAAATAAGTAATTTTTTCTTAAAATAATTGCATTTGTTTTTGGATTGAGGAGGTAAAAGAGACATTTTGCCAATGGAACAAGACAATTTATACTTAAAATAAGAAAACACAATTGCATTGTCTTATTTCAAGTGCATGCTATCTAATATTCTTATTTTAAGAGTAAAATTACTCATTCCATTGGCAAACTATCTCATTTACCTGCTCAAATTAAGGGGGAATACACTTAATTTAAGAAATTTTAAGTTATTCCTAGATCGTTTTTGCAGTGTAAGACGTTGCACTGGAAAAAAAATCAAAATCTAGATAAGTCATTTTTTCTTAAAATAATTGCATTTGTTCTTGGATTGAGGAGTTAAAAGAGACATTTTGCCAATATAACAAGATTATTTACACTTAAAATAAGAAAATGCAATTGCCTTGTCTAATTTCAAGTTCATTTTTACTAATTATCTTATTCTAAGAGTAAAAAAATACTCATTCCATTGGCAAACTATCACAATTACATACTGAAATTAATGGTAAATACACTTAATTTAACACATTTTTATTTATTTCTAGATTGTTTTTCCAGGGTGGGGCATGGTTAGCAACATGTTTCTCACCTATGACCACTAGAGGGAGCCATTGTCCATAAAAGGAGGAACAGTAAACCAATCCATTGTTCTGACCCTAATATACTTGGAGATCACAATATATGTCAATCATTTTATCTTAAATTTGTTTGTCTTGTTTTGTTTGTTTTTTGTTCTTACACGTCACGGACTGTGTAAAGTCAATTAGTTGGAGTTAAAATGGTATCAAAAATGTGGAGGCACTGTTCAAAAAACTGTCATCTTGTGTCAGTAATCAGATACGGTCCAATGAGGGAGTATCCGATGTCCTAATTAGATTTACAAACCCTGTGGCAGCCAGTGTTTCAGCCGTGGATTGAGTGACTCCTTCAAAATTCCCCACAAACGTTTCAGATTACACGCTTCTTAAATATTTATGACTCTCAAGCAGCAGTGGCAGTCACTTCATCAAAGCAGGTGAAGTGGTCTGGGGTTCTCTTTCAGTCATTTCTCCTCAGTTTATACAGTGATGGCCCCAAAGAGGAGATCAGGAGGGGTCCATGGATGTGTTGCAGCGCTTCCTCACATCATAGATATCTATATATATCTGTCACTATCTAAATATTTTGTTTCAAACTGAATTAATATTTATTTTTGCTTTTATTTTTGTTTTTTAATCATTCATTTTTATTCATATCTCAAAAGAAGACACCACAGTAAAAATCATATACACTAAGTGAAATAATAAGAAAGAAAAAACAGGAACATCAGCATTCAAAGCTCAGAATTTCCAGCCATAATGTTCCAGCAGAATATAATCATGTATTGCTTTAGGGCGTTCAAATGCAAATGTGAAAGTGCATTTGTATCTTGAATTTTATGGGTGATTTATACCTTTTCATATATTCTTACAGACCAGTTTTCTGCATATCGTAAATATTCTGCTTAGTTAATAAAAGATTCATACAGTTTAGCTTGATAGTTTAACTTTATAGTTTATAAAACTTCATTTAAAAGCTCAGTATTTTTTTTTTCTAATCCTCCTAGTGGTGACCAATATATCTAAGCCTCCATATGACAGCAATGGTAAACATTATCTCATGATTAGGACCTAGCGGCAAAAAAAGGAAGATCTGCCATTGTTCTATGACTAAAATTACTGAAATTATATTGTTGATTTGACTGCTTTGCCATTTAATATCTGTGTACCTGTGGTGACCTGGGTTCGAATCTGACCTTTGGTCCTTTCCTGTGTGTCTCTCCCCCTCCAATGCCCCCTTTGCTGTCAGAATACTGTCCATACAAAAGGTAGGAGGTGCTAGTGCTGTAAAAACTAAAAAAAAACAAAACATATTTCATAAAAGCATTTTTTATCTTAATAATTTGTAAAAATTACATACATATAAATGTGCTTATAAAATGCTAAACAAATTTACCAAAAATAAAAAATCAATGGAAATAAAATGTTTTAACAAATGTTTGAAAAATAGTGATTAGTTAGTGCTGCTCAGTGGCACAGTGGGTAGCACTGCTGCCTTGCAGCAAGAAGGTTCTGGGTTCAATTCTCTGCCTGGAGTCTGCATGGAGTTTGCATGTTCTCCCTGAGCATGCATGGGTTCTCTCCAGGTTAGATTAATTAGCTTCTCTAAATTCTCCTTAGGTGTGAGTGTGTTTGTGAATGTTTGTTTGTCTCTGTGTTGCCCTCCCATGGACTGGTGGCCTGTCCAGGGTGGACCCCGCCTCTCGCCCATTGACTGCTGGACAATGCTGTAATGACACGACAATAGGCCATAAGATGATGCCAATCAAACCAACAGGTTTAATCTACGCTCTGGGTTACCCATAATTCCAAGTCGTATTGTAAAAAATAAATTACTCAAATACGTTCTTATAAGATCTTTATTGCGGTTTGAGTGTATTTTTTACCACCAGTCTAATGAACTATACACAGTTATTAACATAGTAATTAAAAGTACCACTGTCTGCTTTGCTATTGGTGTGGTGTTTAAACGCCTCACTAAGATGTTGAAATCTGACATATGTTGCGGTATAAATACGGTCCAGTGCGGTAAGTCACTTCAGGATCAGGTAGGTTTAAGAGGAATTTTTCTCACCATTACATCTCCAAAAAGACATCCTAATCTACGATGGCATAGGGGGCCTAACAGGTGTCAAGAGGTTGTCGGCCTGTAAGTGTGACAGAAATGGATGGGACCCCTGGGGACCCCTTAATTTTA